AATTAAAACCCAGAGTTTTGAATATTAATTCCTCACTGCTGAGCACAGGTGTGCTGGGCATTGGCATGCTGCAGGATTCAGTGAATAATGAATATGCTTTTGACATCACTGGTTTTAAAAGTCAGTGTGGTACCTCCAGGGTCCCCTACATGGAGGAGCTGGCAGTGGTGCCTCAGCAGAGCCTCATCTACAGTATTGTGTCACACAAAAAGCAGCCCTGCTCTGTCTTTTACCCACATTGTCAATCATGCAGGAGTACACACACATACATCATTCAGAAAGGACAATGCATGTGGCCACTCTCATGCCCTGCATCACCTTTTACTGTCACCTTCTGGCCCTCTGACTCAGAGAGTCTAACATCTCCCACTGAACGGATGCAGTCTTTCATATTCAGTGCTGGCATTCTGTCCAGAGAGGACGGAGTCCCATGCTGAGAAGAGAAGACCACCCCCCTCCTCTCTCTAAAATGCCAGGTTCTTGTCAACCACCAGCCAATCATACTTTCATGGATATGAGCTACAGGCACAGGCTTGCTTGGACTGTAAAGTAACATGACACTAAGCATACAGTAGGTTTGAGAAAAGCCTTTGTGGACTCACTCAAGTTATATTGGCAGCATGTAAATGTGAAATCTTGATGTGCTGTCTCACTTCTTCCTGAATTACATTAATTTCCCTGTTTGTTTTTTCAATTGCTTTGCAGTGAAGAAAGGCAAGCTTGATGGACCCCAAGGTGAGTGTGCCCTGTTACCTGTGGATGCCATCTATTTGTTGATCATTTTCACAGAATTAGATTCATAGCAAACACTCACAGTAGCAACAACGGAATTTGTATTTTACTTATAGAGAAATTTAACACGTACGTGACCCTGAAGGTGCAGAATGTTAAGAGCACAACCATCGCTGTGCGTGGCAGTCAGCCATGCTGGGAGCAGGACTTCATGTTGTAAGTGCTTCATGCCTTCTCTCACACCCCTTTTCATCTCAGCACACCTTTCCCTCCTTTAGATCCCGTTTTCTTCTGTATATCTGCCTATGTTGTGTAATTTTGGTACAGTCTATGTTGCTCATTTTCTACAATCCATGCTCCTCACACCCACTTGTCTTCCTCCTCTGTCTTCTTCCTCTTACTGTTTCCTTCTTTAAAGAGCACCTGCGATGTAATAAGCCTTTTCTCTTCATGTACACAGAAGTTATAATTGTGGGTGTTTGGGTGAGGGCCTTTTCACACTGTTTCCAGGCTGACAGAGTATTTCTTCCTGTTGCATATGTCCAATTGAAGTTGAAGGTGTCAGAGAGAAGATTAAATGACTTTACACATTGTATTATGAATAGCAATGTACACCAGGCAGAAGAATGCATGGAATAAAAAGTCAATATTTCTTCTCTGCCTAGTTTGACGGCATAGTATCGTTTTAGTTTGAATGTACACTGATCAGCCATAACATTATGACCACTGACCGGTGAAGTGGATATCTTGTTATAATAGCACATGTCAGGGTTTGTGGTATATTAGGCAGCAAGAGGACATACAGTCTCCAAAGTTATTATGTTGTAAGCAGGAAAAACAGGCAAGCATAAGGATCTGAGTGACTTTGACAAGGGTCAAATGACTGGGTCAGACCATCTCCCACACTGCAGGTCTTGGTGGGTGTTGTTGGTCTGCAGTGGTTAGTACCTACCAATGGTGTCTAAGGAAGGACAAATGGTGAACTGCTGACAGAGTCATGGATGCCCAAGGCCCACTGATGATGAGGAATTTTTAAGTTTAACTTGTGCTTTTCAAACGATTAAAATGTGATTGAACATTTGTTAGCCCTGCGATGGATTGGGGACCTGTCCAGGGTGTAGCCAGCCGGGATTGGCTCTGCGAGGCGTGTTCTTTTTTATATTGAAAAGAGAAGACTAATAAGAGGATATATATTTCACAGTGTGAAATTTATTATGCATTAACATATCAAAATTAGCATGTGCACATGGATCTTCACTGTTTAGGATAAACAGGAAAGACTGACCTCAACTTAGTGGTATACAATATTTGTATGAAAAGGTACTACTATCTAATTGGTCCAAAACTGTTGGGGAGAAGCCGTGGTTTAGACTTAACTCTCCCATTATTGGTCCTTCAGTCCGTCCGTCCTCTCTGCTCCAATCATCGTGGACAGCGCCCTAGGAAGGAGGAAGAATACCTATACTACTATAATTCCTACATACACACTCACTTCTTCCTTTGGTTTCAACTAACTGCTCCATATTACGCATTGCTTTCCGTTTCACTTAATTAAAACTGTTCTGCCAGCTACAGCCATAAATCTAATGAAATTCAGTAATTTAGTGGACAAGACTTATGATGTTGCATTAGTGTTTCAGTGACTCACACAGCAAATACTTGACCAGTAGTTAAGTGAACACATAGGGTGATATTCATAACTATATAAACATAACTGTGACATATAAGTATGTAAACTTATGTGTGTTATAAAATAAACCATTCTTAAGTGCATAAAATAAAAATCACCCTAACAGCTCCGGCCCCCCCTGTGACCCCGTTCAGGGACTAAACAGTAGAAAATGAGTGAGCATGAGTGAGTGAACATTTGTTAGAATGGTTGAAAATGAGAAATACAGTATATTGATCTATATGAAGAGAAACATTCAGCGGCTATAGTTGTGATGACAAATTCAACAGCCTCACCACTCTAGATGTGATAACATTTGTAACAAAAAAAATCTCTAACTTGTCCTTTGCTATGTGATAGACAAATTCGTGTTCTTCCTGACAGTATAACTGTGGAAGCAAACGGATTCACAGAAGATGCACAGTGAGCTGTAGAGTGAGACGAGTGCCAACCAACTGCCACATTAACTCCTATGTAAATAATATTAGGCAGGTGGTCATAATGTTATGGCTGATCAGTGTATGTGTCCACTTGTAAGACTGAAACTTTTATTAAATGTAGTTTCATTTAAGAAATGAAAATACTTAAGATCTAAAAGTAATGGCATTACTTAAAGGTAATATGTTTTCTTTTGCCAATATGATCATAAATTAATTTAGACATACTGTAGTTCCAAAAACTTGTTCTGCATTCACAGTGGAAGTGTAGTGTAAATATAAGGTTGTGGATGCAACAATGCGGTCCTTATTATCTTTTAACTAGTTTATATGCATTAAATATGGAATTTATACTGTTCATTCAAATGAACAGACGCCACCTCAGGGGTGACATATCTCACTTTCTCCTTCATGCTGCTGTCTTTTGCTCCTTTCCTCTCCCCCTTTTTCCTTTAATAAACACTCCATTCAGCTATCCTTCTCAGCTATGTCCTCAACTCCCAGGGAAACAGAAAAATGTAGTCTCATATCAAAGCTGAATACTATTAGGTTTGGATTCTCTTAAGAAAGCCAGTTGGCTTAAGTAAATGACACTACAGTATTTAACAATGAGAGATGCTTAGTGTGCTGATAAAATGCAGTCACAATACTAGTAAGTACCCACTGTATCCATATACTGTATATGGCTGTTGCTTGATAGAAAACAGAGTTCACTGATGTTTGTCATAAGGAAATAGAGAGTCTCTGCTGTTGTCCTGTCTGTGCTCTCTGTTGTATCTAGCTGGTGGCCTAGTTAACAATAACCTGCTGTTTCCAGCTTCATGTCGAATGACTCATTTTCCTCAGCAGAATGAATCACATTGCATATCCATCACTAGATTAGAGTACAGCTCCTGTTGGCATGAACTATATTTGTATTGAAAGCCCTCTGTGCAGTGAGTTTACTGTATACAACCTTATCTCCACTCAGATCTTAATAATGTTCAGTTGTACATTTTTTTCTCTTCTTTTTCCAGACTCATCCTTCTTAACCTATTTGTTCTTTTTTTTTCTGAGCAGTGAAATAAACCGCCTGGATCTGGGCCTGACAGTGGAGGTGTGGAATAAAGGGCTGATCTGGGATACCATGGTGGGCACCTTATGGATCCCTCTGCGCAACATACGGCAGTCCAATGAGGTACACTGCCAAATTCTCTTTGTCTCTTAAATTAGCTTTCACTGGCTATACTTACTGTACAAAAAAACTTGATTCTGACTGACTTTCTTTAATGCATCAACATTTGTTGATAGCTTTTTCCAAATGAATATTACTCTAACATATTTCTTTTTGCCTTGAAATTTCACTTTCAAGATTGCTATTTATGTGCAAAAGAAATTGGAGTTGAGAAAATCTGAGATGTAGAACCAGGATAGTAATAACAGACTTCAAGCACATGCTGAAAGGCCTGTTTATTTGCACAGTGAGTATTGCCCTAATCATATTGTTTTTCCTCTCTTGCCTTTTTTATTCCAGGAGGGTCCAGGTCAGTGGCTGACTCTGGACTCCAATGTGATCATGGCTGAGAATGAGATCTGTGGAACCAAAGACCCGACCTTTCACAGGCTGCTGCTTGACACACGCTTTGAACTGCCACTAGGTTTAGCCTTTCATTCTACTTTGATCCTACCTTTTGCTTTGTTCTGTATATTTGCTTTTTTAGGTTCAATTCACAGTATTTCAATTGAATATGAAAAATCAGAAAGAACAATTACTACTGCTACCGCTGTTACTCCTACTACTACTATAGAGCAACAATACAGTTCTAATTACCATGACCATTACTAGCAGCACCTTTACTAGTTTACTTTTTCTGCTGCCCTTACTACTAGTACTACTGCTGTTACAGTACTAACACTACCTCTGTTACTGTTACTACTAGTGCTACTTCTTGTACTGGTTAATATAGCTGTCATAAAATTGAAAGAATAATTTAACATCCCTGAAAATTTTGTTTTGGAAGACCCCAAGTGGTTTAAAGGATAAGGTCAGGTCATTTTCTATATTAACAGTCTTTTCAACATGCCACATATAAAAACTAAGACCAGCTATGATTTTTCTCTACTCACGGTTAATGCCGCATCATCCAGTGTATGGAGATTGCTCAAACTACTATTAATATAGAAAATGACAGGCCTTATCCTTCTCAGTCTGCTGTATTGATGAGGGGTGTGACAAAACATATTTTTGGCCACACCCAGTAAAAGAGGGAGGACAGTAAACCACTGCTTTTCAGCCTTGTGTTTAGCTATGGCTGGCTCTAGCCGTTATAGGGAAATCTATATATACAGATAGGACTGTTCATAATGGTCAGCATTTGATTAGCATAATATTATCTTAGGTGTTTTTGTTATGTGTTGCAGATATTCCAGAGGAAGAGGCCAGGTACTGGGCCAAGAAGCTTGAACAACTGAATGCCATGAGAGATCAAGATGTAAGAACTTGATTCTTTTCCAGATCCCCACCACTTTCTTTGCACCATGTGTCATCTGTATTTCTTCATCCATTTATTTCTTCCTCTTTATAGTATTTTCCTTCATAACCGCTTTCCTACTTTTTTGTTCTTTTCTGTACTCTGTAATTACACTCATTGGCAGTCAATAACATCAGAGTTGCCAGAGTCAGTTTTTTTACGAGCAGTTTTCCTCAGGACAAATGTGCTTTCTGAGATTTATTGCTGTTTTTTTTCCTTAGTATGCCTATCAAGAAGAACAGGAGCAACAACTACATGCACCATCCACCCAGTGCTGTGAGCCTCCTCTACATCCACCTTTTCCTGTGCTGTCCCCTGCTGTGTTTTCTCCCCACCTCCCTCTGCTTCATTGGCCTGATTCAGTGAGAACGGGGCTAGACAGGAGACTAAAATGAGGATGATAGATGAGACAAAGGAAGGAGGGAGGAAAGCTAACGTGATGAATCACGCACACAGGCCTGCCTGAGCAGTAGAATGACTTATAGCTGCTAGACATGCAATGAATGTGAGCTGACATTCACTGGGCTGTCAGACACATACCGCCCTGTCTATCTGCAGATGATGACATAGTGAGCAGGTGGATGAGTGTGTATAGTCTGTGGACAGAGAGATTTGGTTGGTGGCGTGGTGTTTATCTGTGTGTACAGAAAGGATAGAGTGTGTGTGTGTTTTCTGTTCTTAGTTACTTAGCAGCATCGAGGCCAGCAGTGTTTACACAAAAGCTGATCAAACCTTCTCCAAAACCCTTGTGCTTTTCTTTACTCACACACATGTACACACACACCGATCTGCCTCACTTATGAGCTCTCTGCACAGAGATTTACATTTTAAAATAATTATTTCCCAGAGCTGCAAATCTCTTCGTGATTGTTTGGCTGGCTTTGTGAACTACTGATGTGTTAAATTTGTGGCCCAAACTAATTTGTTTTTTCAACCCTTTATCTCATTGCAGGTAATTGGAGTCTTTGGGGAGATCAGCAAAGTAAGTTTATTTCATGCGCTTCTGCTGATGACCTGGAGTAATTCTGTACCGTAATTTCCGGACTATTGAGCGCACCTGAATATAAGCCGCACCCACTAAATTTAAAACAAAAAAATATGTTGTACATAGCCGCAGGTGTCCACGTTGTAACATGACATATTTCGGCAGCCAGATCGATCAGCTTTAACTTGAATGCTGCATCATATGCATTTCGTCGTGTGTTTTCCATGATGAGGTTGTGTGCATGAAATGAAAAAAAGTAGTGGCTTATAGTCCAGAAATTACGGTATTTATTGTCTATGTCTCACTTAAGGTATTGATCTACTTGTGTAGTTTTCTCAGTGACCATTAGCTGCCAAGTAGATTTTTTTTTCTCCACACATCCTTTCTGTACGTCCTTTTTGCATATATCCATATTCTAGTCACACTATTAGAGTTAATTTATTATACAATAAAATAAACTGTGGTGTTTGCTGAAGATACACATGAGCATATCTTACACCTGTGACCAGACCAGAATAAAATTTTAAAAAAGCCATTTGTTTTTCTGGTTTACCTGTTGTATTTTGCGATTTACAATGACAGCCGGGATGCTATGTCACATAAAAAATAGCTGAAAGTTAATTTAGCATTTGTTTCAGTAGTGACACCTTGTTACACAAATTGTCCTTTGTGGGTCAGAACCACTGACTGTATATAAAAGATTTACAAACCTTCTTTAACATCACCCACTGGTTTTCTGAAGAGTGGTTTTGAAGCTTAAGTCTGGCTGCTGGCATCTTGGTAGTGCTTCGCTCCGCTTGCTATGGGTAATCCAAAAATGGACAAAGAGGTCGTGTGAATGGAGCTCTCTAGACAGCTAGCAGCTAGCCACTAGGCACTTGTGGCAAAGTCATCCCACCTGTCACTCAAAGCTTCTACGCCCTTAGTTATGTGTAACATTTACCCTCAATATAATTTAAATGGGTAAATAACAAAAATTCGCTATAGAGACCAAAAGTGTTTTTTGTACCAAGCTGTAAACATGTTTATTTCTGCTGCTAAAGTTGGGTATTGATTTCCTTTTGTAGCCAGGCTCAAGTGGTCATTTGAGGAACTGCAGGTTTTGGCACTTCTTTGGCATCATTTCTCAGCCTTGGAGGTTACCACTTGGTCACAACATGAAAAATGTTAAAATTATTTATAAATGCTGTATAACAAAGTCATTCTCATTTCATACGCTCATTTTGTCCCATCTCCTGCTGTGGTTGTGCGAACAGACGAGGACCCAGACAGTGCTGTGGATGACAGGGACAGCGACTACCGCAGCGAGACCAGTAACAGCATCCCACCACCCTTCTACACCACCTCCCAGCCCAACGCTTCCATGCACCAGTATCCCATGAGGCACCAGCACTACAGACACTCCTACAACAGTGATATCCATGAGCTGGACTATGACCACAGAGCCATGAGGTAATGAGCACATTACAGCCACTACTCAGCCACAAACAAGACTGGGGCAGAGCGGTTTCTCTGTCTTGAGCCTAACTGCTTACGTGCACCCATGAGATTACCATGGGGGGTTGTCAGAAGGTATCAGCAAATTTCACAGGGAGAAAGCTTTTGTTTTGGTGGAATAAAAAAAAAACACAAGGGAAACATAACAGTTTCATATTGAGAGCATAATATCACAGCCCCCATCTTTGTGGAGCATTGTGGTCTAGCATATAGCCTTCAGTTAGATGAGCCCCTGTGGCCTTCTTTGGTTTTACTGTTTTGTATGCGGTAACATGTTGTCCCATTGTGCTCTCCTCCTCTAGAGAATAACCCTGGCCTCAGTGTATACAAGCATGCTGGGGCAGACAGTTCTTGTATACAGGTCATGTATGAAGTGGTCCTTTGTGGTTATTTTTTTTTGTGTAAATGCGTATGTGCCTGTGTCATTGTGCGCATACTGAGTGTGTGAGCATCAGAAACCCAGAGTGATCGCTTCTGCACTAACTTGTGCAGAAAATAAATACATTTCTGAACATATCAGTGGTTCTGAATATTTCAAGACATGTTTTTCAAGGTGCCTGATGATTAAAATTCAAGCATTTCAATATGAAAGTTTCACCTTTTGATTTGATTAGACTCAGATTGGTGAAATAAATTTTGAAGAACTCAACCTCAGTGAAAGGCCTAAAGGATAGATTCACAATTTTTCAAGTCTGTCTTAAAACAATAGCCAGGTGTGCATATGAACATTTCTTTCAGTAATTGTGACTCCTATTCATACTGGCCATTGACAGATTGATGCACTTGCAATGTGGGATCAAATCAAATACTGTAGATATATTCCAAAGTTCCAAAGGTAGTAGAAAATTGCCCCTTTATATTTCCACTAACAGTGTTTCCTTCCTTTTTTCTAAAAAAAAGCAGTAATTTTTGAATATATCCAATTGATTTGAATAACTCAGGCTGCTGAAGTCTGATATTATCTTTGCTTAAATGTTATGTGTTTTTGCACAGAATTAGGACTGCAGAGAGATCTCTTAACAGCCAGTATGAACAGGAAAAATGATTACAGCAAGCAAATTGCTTCAGAGTTTGTATGGCTGTTGTTTTACAACAGATATGAAAAACTGTTATGCTATTCTTTAAACAGGCAGTGCAGAGGCTCAGTTTGGTTAGAACTTTGAAAGATTTGCACTGAGCTCTACTGATGCTCCTTTCCCACCTCTCCCCTCCTCCCCACCTCCCTCCCTGCTCCTCTTACCAGACGCTATGATAGTTTAGACTCGGCCACCAACGGGCGCAGTGATATCGACTCAGGCTCAGGGTCGAGCCGGCACACCAGTCGTCAGTATTCTCTAGACAGTAGGCATTCACTGTCCGATAGGTGGGTCTAAATACCTCCTCTTCTTCCTCCTGCTCCAGCCTGTGACTCAGTCTCGCTGTGATGTCAGTGGTGGACTTGTCCCGTCCTCCTCGCTCGCTGTGCTTGCATGCATGTGCTCTTACCCTATTTTTATATATGTATATATTTTATATTTTGATTGAAAACTACTGGTGCTGCATTTATCTTTGCTGTGTTTCTGGGGAAGAATCACAAATCAGTGTCACAGTTTATGCATCCTGCTCATCTTCTCCATTGTTAAGTGTCTGTGCAGTTTTCCGTTTTGCGTGTGGGCGAGTGATTGATAAGATGTGTGTTGTTGCATAACAGTCAGAGACAGAGAGGTTAATTGTTGGTTGGAGTTTGTGGAAAAGCTTGGGTGTGTGTGTGCGTGTGCGCGCGTGCATCTGTTGTTGTGGCAGCCTGTTATTACAGCCTCATCCTGTATGTGAAGTTTTAAGGAGAGCTCTGCCTTATTCTGTCTGTCCCATACTTGGTAATTATGCACATTTAATTTCCACTTGTGCGACAGCAGAAGGTCTTCAACCTAATAATGGGACCCTAGAAGAGAGGCCAAGACAAATTATGTTCACATTCATCTTCAATGCATCATATCCTTTTCTTATTCTTTGTTGAGAATGAAGGCAAACGTGTATTTAGACTCAAGCATTATGCAAGCATTTGTCTGTCAGTCATTGCGTTGGACAAGAGAGTGATAGTGAAATACCCAATGAATAGGGGTGTTGTGACTGAGTATTAATGTGTCCACTCATTCATTCTTGTGTATTCCCTGTGGTTCACAGCCCAAAGTGATTATACAGCTCTCTCCTTTATTGCTCCTACATTATTGAACCTGTAAGACTGTAATCATTAGAAATGAAACAATAGTGTTTCCCTGTGTGTGTAAGATTTGTTTTTGTATGTGTCTAAGTCTCTTCCTGACTCACGGTCAGTATCAATGTCTAATGGCCTTAGTCATCACTGTGAATAAATATTATTCATTTATTTATCTGCAGAAAGAGTTTTGTTCTACCAGGCTAATAATTTACCCACAGCTTCTCCAGGTTCTCTGTCTTTCATCTAAATAGACCTTTTTAATAAATGTGCTTTTTATGGCTTGTGTATTCATTAGTGTGTGAACTAGTACCATTAATTAAAAAAAAAATGCAGGCACATAGATTCATCACTAGCTTTAACAACCCCTCCAAAGTTTGTTTAAAGTCATTCCTCCTTTTCTCCTTGGTCCCAACACAAACTCTGTAAGTGTCACTGTGACAGCAAAACCTTTGGGAACTCCCTCAGTTTATCTTTAAACCCATGTAGGTGTGTTTAAATAATGCATGTCTGTGTCTTCCCCTCTCTTCAGTCCCACAGACAGTCGTTACGCCTCATCAGGCGAGTTGAGCCGAGGCAGCTCGCAGCTTAGTGAAGAGTTTGTTCCTGATGACGGTGAGAGCTTGCGAGGTTCAGAGTTCTACGATGAAAACGACTCCTACCACTCCTGCCACTCCTCCGTCAGCTATGGCAAAGAGGACTCCCCAGGCTGGGATGGTGAAGACCACCAGGGCATCTATAGCGACGAGGGAGGTTACCTCAAAGATGGAGGGGAGGAGGGGGCATTGTATGGCGAAGAGGAGGGAGACATGTATGGTGAGGAAGAAGAGTACAACTACGAAGATGAGGAGGAGATGCCATATGAGGAAGATGAAGATATGTATCCACTTGACAGGACACTCAGTGAAGACCAGGAACCACCCTACACTCCCATGCCCACAAGCACTGCGCAAACCTTGATGCCCCCCTCTGATGGTTTGTCCTCTGGCCGACCACCACTGGAAAAGCAGGCTTCACTACATCCTCTCCCGCCTCCTGGCACGACTCCTGGTCAGCCTCCAGTCTCAAAGGCTGACACGTTGCCTCCTTTCAGCTCAGACTCCATTAAACCCCACTTTGCACCCACGCAGCCAGATCTGTCTACCACCCCTACAACTGCCTCTACAACAACATCACAGGTTTCAGCTCTGGACTCCAAGCCCTTAGGGCCTGAATCCAAATCTGAGGTGCCGCGGGAGGAACCTCGACCTTCAGAGCAGCCTCCGGCAGCAGAGAGCACCACTCCGGCTCCTGAGGGTAAAACAGAGGAGCATCATGTTCCAAGGTGAACACTGTTTTTATACTGACAACTTCAGAAAGGAAAACATTAAAAATAAGCACAGTGTCAAACATACAAATAAGTTGATTTGTATCTGGCAGTTGATTCAAGTAACAGTTAGCACATATAGTACATATACATACAAACAACTGACCAATCAGTTGTTCAAAATATGACCACAGGAAACACTGGGGAAGGGGGTAGGAATAGTAAAATAACAAAAAAAAAGATCTGTTCAGATGAATCAGTGGCCCAATACTAGCATGCCCAATAAAAAAATTGTATTTACATGTTTTAATCATGTTTTCTCTTCTACAATTGTTTGTAAACAGGGCGAAAAGATTGCGTTTCATAGAGACTAGCTTCAAAGAGGACATGTTCTTTATAGTAAACCCTTTAATTAAAGGGCTACTACAGAGATTTACAGAGATGGTCAGAAGGAGCTGCATTGTGTCTTTGTGGATTTAGAGAAAGCGTACGACAGAGTACCGAGAGAGGAGCTATGGTACTGTATGAGGATGTCAGGAGTGGCAGAGAAGTACGTCAGAGTAGTTCAGGATATGTATGAGAGGAGTACAACAGTAGTGAGATGTGCTGCAGGTCAGACAGAGGAGTTCAAGGTGGAGGTGGGGCTACATCAAGGATCGGCTTTGAGTCCCTTCTTGTTTGCTATGGTGATGGACAGGTTGACAGATGAGGTCAGACAGGAATCTCCGTGGACAATGATGTTTGCGGATGACATTGTGATCTGTAGTGAGAGCAGAGAGCAGGTGGAGGAACGCCTGGAAAGGTGGAGGTCTGCTCTGGAAAGAAGAGGGATGAAAGTTATATTGGTAGAAGGATGGTGGAGATGGAGCTGCCAGGCAAGAGATCAAGAGGAAGGCCAAAGAGGAGATATATGGATGTACTAATAGAGGACATGAAGTTAATTTATGTGAGAGTAGAGGATGCAGAGGATAGAGTGAGGTGGAAACAGATGATTCACTGTGGCGACCCCTAACTGGAACAGCCAGAAGAAGAAGAAGAAGTTGGCCAAGTATGGATGAAGCCCCAGAAACACCAAATCCTACATTTCCCCCAAAGTAACTTAATGGCATGTTTTGGTAGACCCTCCCTGCTCGATAAATGCCGTGGTGTTTCAGAGCTCACACAGGTTTCCTAGTACTAAATGTGATGTCTCCTTACAGAAGTTCTCAAACTTAAGACAGACGACGTACAGGAGTTTTCACAAGCTGTATGGTACTTCTCATTACAAATATTGTAAACTGTGCAAACCTCATGGAGTGTCCCTTTAATGCGGTGACTATCAATCCTGTAGTTATTGTATTTCTGTACATTCAGTACATTAACTAATTGAGTACATACCAGCACATGAATAGTTTTTTGAAAAATGTTTTCAATCTATTTTTTAGCTTCCTAAAGAGGGAGCCCATGGAACCTGGTCACGCCAGAGCCAAGGCGAACTGGTTTCGACTTTTCAGCAGAGTACGACTACAACTGCAAGAGGTACAGCCTATATGTGTTTGTGTATGTGTTTTTCAGTGTATCTTTGTACACACTGGTGTGTATTTTTGCTCACTGAGGACACTTCCTGCATGTCCTTTCATTGCTGTTTTTTCCAGTGTTTTTTGACTGGTCCACCATTTTCCCCAGTTTTTGGTTATTGCTGTGGATTATACTGTGTTGTATTGTGTTTATTCAATCGTTCCTGTTTACCCCTTGTATTGTTTTGCCATTTCGTTATTTTCTTTTCAGTTGTTTGCCATCCTCGTAGCGATTTGCATGTAGTCCATTCAGATTATACATGGCTGGAGCAGACTCTCAGGTGGGTGTGGCCACAGTGTGTTAATCAGTCTAATTTGTATTGCATATGCCGTGTACAACTCGTAGATATGTGTGGAAAGCCAAGCAACACATAGGAAGTTTCTCTAAGGTTGCTAAATGTCATTTTCCAAGCGTAGCATTTATATCAATCATAATTATTTCAGTGCATCAGTGCTGTGTCATTCTTTGAACAGGCAGTCAGACAAAGAATGTGTTTTGATAATCAAGAAGATAGAATTAAAAGAATGATTATATGACCTGGCTGTAATCTACTTTTACAATGATTCTTAAACACAAAGAAGCCACTGTCGATGTCAGTATCCACTACACACACTCAGAAAGACACAATTCAACTATATTACTTTCCTCATCTCACTTTTCTTTTTTTTTATTTCCCTATTGTACCAGTGTTGTATTATTAATTTGTGAATTCTGGGAACATTTTCATTTATTGTGGCAACTATTCACTATGAATGTATATCCTTTATACTAAGGAACATCTTCTCATTTTATTGTTGTCAGTATGAAGAATAATATAAAAGCATTAGGTGCAGCACTATAATATGCTATGGTTCCCATTTAACCTTCCACAGCCCTGTTGGCAGTCTGCTTACCTCTCTTTCTCATCTTGCCCCTCTCTTTCTCCACAGGCCCGAGGAGAAAGTGTTGGCATTGCCTCTCTGCTTTTATCAGCAGGGTAAGTAAACGTGACACTCTTATGACTATGGCCACTGAAAATCAATCACTTATCAAGTGAAAGGCAAAGCCATGGCCTGAATGTATGAATGTCTTTGTTGGCCAATTGATTTGTTGTGTCGAATTTCTAGTTAACAACTCTAGCTAAGAAGATAAAGGATGTTGAATCTGTGTGTGTTTTGTCTTCAGCATGGGTGGTGCTCTGTATAGCATTGACAGCATGCCAGACCTCAGGAAGAGGAAAGCTATGCCTCTGGTCAGAGATCTGGTGAGTTTCCACATTAACCTCTTTACAATGGATTCAGAAAGTATTCAAACCCAAGTTTTCCACATTTTGCTAGGAGTCAGACTCATCTTAAAATCATTCCAATTTTCCACACCAATCTACACACAATACTCCAGAGTGATACAGTGAAAACAGGTTTTTGGAGTGTTTTGCAAATTTATTAAAAATAAAAGACTGAAATTTACACAAGTATTCAGACCCTTTGTTATGACACTTCCAATTAAGTTCTGGTGCATCCTACTCCTATCAGTTGTCATTGTGGTCCTTCTATGGCTTGATTAGAGTACACTGGTGCTTAATTTAATGCATTGGATATAATTAGTAAAAGCACACACCTGTCTATATAAGGTCTTACAGTTGGTGGTGTATGTCAGAATGAAAACAAAGCAATGAGGTCAAGAGAACTGTCCACAGATCTGTGAGACAAGATTGTGTCAAGATGGAGATCTGACAAAGGATACCAAACCATTTCTGCAGCATTGAAAGTGCCCAAAAGCACAGTAGTCTCCATCATTCTTAAATGGAAGATATTTGGAACCACCACCAGTCTTCATAGATCTGGGCCCCCCAGTAATCTGGGGTTATGGGCCTTGGTCAGACCAGTAACCAAGAACCCAAGGGTCACTATAAATGAGATCCAGAGTTCCTTTCTGGAGATGGGAGAGTGTTACAGAAAGACAACCTCTAGCTAGGTTTATGCACGAGAGATAAACCCAGTAGCGACAGCTCTTAGATGGTGAAGCCTATACGAAATAGAACTGTTTCTTATCACAGAGTATTTTTACAGGGTGATATCTCTACTTCTACTTAAGTAAACAATCTGAGTACTTCCTCCACCACTGTCAGATTGTCTTTGGTAGGTCTGGGCTGAATGAGCAGTGTTCACAGGTTATTTCTTTCAGATATCATAGACCTTGGGTCTGGTTGCAGCTGGCTCCCTGGCCCTTCAATCTTCCACATCTGGCTATAGATTCACCTTGCGCCCACACTCACACTTTTCTGTTTGATGTCCATTCTCATTTAACCATTATAGTAACTGCACAATAGAAACATTTCTTTTGCATTGTTAATTCTTTGTGACAATTCTTTCCTCTTAACTTTCTCTAATAACGAATCTCTCATTTATTCCTACCACCTTCACGTCACTGCCACAGGCTATGGTGAGTAACACCACCACTTGCTAGAAGAAACACCTATAAGGGAATACTAGTTTTTTATTAAAAACAGCTAATTAGTTAGTCTTACAAAGTAGGCACTTTAAATTCTGCAGCTGTTACTTCTACTTTGTTGTGACTTTTCTGGAAAACACTGCCAGACAGACTGTGATAGTACACATTGCTTAACATGCACTGCACTGCATATAAAGCATATGAAGTTAATTTGCAATGGCTACACTAAGATTTGTCTTGATTTAATATCAACATATATATATGTGTATATTAAAATGGGCACTGAAATAAATGACTGCTCCTCTCTCTTGTCACTCAGTCTTTGGTCCAGAACTCCAGGAAGGCCGGCATCACCTCAGCCCTGACATCCAGCACCCTGCACAATGAAGAACTGGTCAAAACTCATTTACAATCTTGTATTTTACATTATACCAAAAAAGCTATTCATTCTGCTGACCCTGCACTTCTGTCCTCTGTACACTTGTAGAAGAGTCACGTCTATAAGAAGACCCTCCAGGCCCTCATATATCCCATCTCCTGCACCACCCCGCACAATTTTGAGGTGTGGACAGCTACAACCCCCACTTACTGCTATGAGTGTGAGGGGCTGTTGTGGGGTATTGCTCGCCAGGGTATGCGCTGTACCGAGTGTGGAGTCAAATGCCATGAGAAGTGTCAAGATCTACTCAATGCTGACTGTCTGCAAAGTAAGAGAAATGTTCAAAAACCATTGCTCAATTTTAGTCTTTCTAGTATTCAAAATGTAAAAAAGTCTGGATTAGAAATATGAGAATGTTGTAGCAACCTACTCGGTGTGCTTATCTGTCTGGGAACTGTAGACATAGATGAATATAGATATCAAGTTTAAATATAATTATAGGCTATAGAGTTTAGAGTGATAGTAGCTATAAACATCTCCATTACATATGCATGATATTGGTCTTACAGGGTGAATTATAAACACATCTTATTTCTGCTAACAATTGATTATTGTAAATTACAGTTTTTATGAATTGTTTTGTTTGTTTACATTTGTTTATGTATTGTCTAAAGAAATAATTCAACATCTTTGGGAAATATACTTTATTTGCATCCTTACCATGAGTTACATGAGAACATTGATATCACTCTTATATGATAAATATGTAGCTGGAGCAGCAACTGGTTAGCTTAGCTTAGTATAAAAATAGGAAGCAGGGAATCAGTTTGTTCAAAATAAAATCGTCTCTTCAATTCCGATGCCACTATTTTCAGTTTTAATTTAGATTTTACATACTGTCTTTTTCTGATTTGGGGTTGTAATATTAGCTTAGCCCAAATAACTTTTAGCTACATAGTAAAAGATTATTGATTATGTAGCTAAAGCATAAATTGTAGTCATGTTTTGAGGACAATAAAATACATCATAATCATAATATATCACATCATAAAATATTAATTTATATTAGCTGAACAACCATTTGTTTACTTTATTCTTTAGCTTTGTTGCTCTGTCAGTGCTGCTGTAAACTATCTAGTCCATCTTCTTCCTATTACAGTATCTGTGTTTGCCAGTACCAAACACAAAGCCTTCATCCTCCCTCTCTACTGTTTTCTTATTTCTTGTTTTCTTGAGAGGATATTAAAAGCAATTTATCTTTTGTTGTCATCCACCACTTTTTTGTGTCCCTCCTTGACACGTTTTATAGTTCTGCAAATGTGTCTGCCTTTCATTCATGAAATCTAGCCAGGTTGTTCACCGCCTACCCAGACTTCTTCTCTGCACAGAATTAAATTCTCCAGTTTCAAATTTTCTTGAAAGTCACTTTATGCTGTCCTCCAGGCAAACTTTTTCTCTGTTACTGTTATAATTAATAACTGCATGGGAACGTAAAGCCATAGATCTCTCATATCATATCATTTCTATATACATCAATATACAGTATCTGATAACTTTTCTTAACTGTCTCATTAACCAGGAGCAGCAGAGAAGAGCTCCAAACATGGTGCAGAGGACCGAACTCAAAACATCATCATGGTTCTTAAGGACCGCATGAAGATCCGCGAGAGGAACAAACCTGAGATCTTTGAACTCATTCAAGAAGTGTTCAGCGTCCCCAAGTCTACTCATGTCACCCAAATGAAGCAGATCAAACAGAGCGTGCTTGATGGAACCTCTAAATGGTCAGCCAAGATCAGCATCACAGGTGAGAGTCAAGTTTTGTACTTACACTATATTGCCAAAAGTGTTCACTCACCCATCCAAATCATTGAATTCAGGTGTTCCAACCACTTCCAGGGTTACAGGTGTATATAATCAAGCACCTAGGCATGCAGACCATTTCTACAAACAGTTGTGAAAGAATGAATCGCTCTCAGGAGCTCAGTGAATTCCAGCGTGGTACCGTGATAGGATGCCACCTGTGCAATAAGTTCAGGTGTGAAATTTCCTCGCTACTAAATATTCTACAGTCAACTGTTAGTGGTATTATAACAAAGTGGAAGTGACTGGGAACGACAGCAACTCAGCCATGAGGTGGTAGGCCACATAAAATCATAGAGCAGAGGTCACCAACTTTCTGCAGTAGCTACAGACCTCCAAACTTCATGTGGCCTTCAGATTAGCTCAAGAACAGTGCGTAGAGAGCTTCATGGAATGGGGTTCCATGGTCGAGCAGCTGCATCCAAGCCTTACATCACCAAGTGCAATGTAAAGCGTTGGATGCAGTGGTGTAAAGCACGCCACCACTGGACTCTAGAGCAGTGGAGACGTGTTCTCTGGAGTGACGAATCACGCTCCTCTGTCTGGCAATCCCATGGACAAGTCTGGGTTTGGCAGTTGCCAGGAGAACAGAACTTGTCTGACTGCATTGTGCCAAGAGTAAAGATTGGTGGATGGGGGATTATGATGTGGGGTTGTTTTTCAGGAGCTGGGCTTGGCCCCTTTAGTTCCAGTGAAAGGAACTCTTAATGCCTCAGCATATCAAGACATTTTGGACAATTTCATGTTCCCAACTTTGTGGGAACAGTTTGGGGATGGCCCGTTCCTGTTCCAACATGATTGTGCACCAGTGCACAACACAAGGTTCATAAAGACATGGATGAGTGAGTTTGGCGTGGCCTGCACAGAGTCCTGACCTCAACCCGATAGAACACCTTTGGGATGAATTAGAGTGGAGACGGCGATCCAGGCCTTCTCGTCCAACATCAGTGTCTGACCTCACAAATGTGCTTCTGGAAGAATGGTCAAAAATTCCCATTAACATACTCCTAAACCTTGCGGACAGCCTTCCCAGAAGAGTTGAAGCTGTTAGAGCTGCAAAGGGTGGGCCAACATTGTATTAAACCCTATGGATTAAGAATCGGTTGTTGCTCAAGTTCATGTGCATGTGAAGGCAGACGAGCGAATACTTTTGGCAATATAGTGTAGATGGCTTACACTGTTATTATCAAAGGCAGGGTCAACATCATAGTCAGAGTCAGGAGACAGCATATTTCAGCTGTTTGTAAGACAAGCTGCTGTTTGCATGAAGAAAGCATAGGTGGCATTTGTGGGGCAGAACAGCAGAAGGTCAGATGAGTTGAGAGGCATCTGTTTGCAACCACGCACACACACAGGTTAAAGAACTTGGCTTTTTCCTCTTCTTTCTAGTGTTGTGTGCCCAGGGTCTACAAGCCAAGGATAAAACTGGTTCCAGTGATCCATATGTCACCGTCCAGGTGGGAAAGACCAAAAAAAGGACCAAGACCATCTACGGCAACCTCAACCCTGTCTGGGAGGAGACATTTAATTTGTGAGTTATGATCTTTTGGGAAAAATATGTGGAATTTGTGGTAATTTAGGCTTCCAATTAATGATTATTTTAATTACCAGTTAATGCTACTTAATTAATTTCTGATATTAGTGGGAAATTCATATCACAGTTTCTCCAAGGCCAAAGTGACATCTCAAAATTGTTCATTTTATCCAAACAACAATTAAAAATCTAAATATATTTTATTTCAGGCTGAAACCAGGAAATGGTTGGCATTTTTGCTTGATACATGTTCTAAAAAATTAATCAAGTTTTTGTATTGTTGATTAATTTTCCTTTGATCAACTTTTCAGCACTAGTGTCACAGTTTTTATATGATTTGTGTTGTTAATATAAAATGGTTTTTATTTTTTAAGGCATTTTTTGTTTACGTGAGTCATGATAGTAAACCATCTGGTCTTCGTGTTCAACTGTCAGTGTAAATTGTGGCTGATTCTCTGGTTCTGTTTGTTAGTGAGTGTCACAACTCCTCAGACCGCATCAAGGTGCGAGTGTGGGATGAAGATGATGACATTAAGTCTCGTGTCAAGCAAAAGTTCAAGCGGGAGTCAGATGACTTCCTTGGTCAGACTATTATTGAAGTCCGAACTCTGAGCGGCGAGATGGACGTCTGGTATAATCTTGGTCAGTTGAATCACATTGTGTCATTTGAATTTACAGATCACATACTGTAGCTCGTACTATATTGAGCCTACAGCTATTCACGGTCCTGATGCATTTATCTCAGCTGCTGTTTTACAGTATGTCTGACTGAGATTTTTGTTCAGCAATGAGTTTGGTAACTGTGTTGCTGTATATCTTGTTCTCTTCACAGACAAGCGTACAGACAAGTCAGCTGTATCCGGAGCAATCCGCATGCATATTAACGTAGAGATCAAAGGAGAGGAGACGGTCGCCCCATATCACGTTCAGTACACCTGTTTGCATGAAGTAAGTTTAGTATGTGTTTGTGTGTTTGAACCGTAGACTGTATATAGATGGACTTGTCAGCTCCCCAGAAAAGAAGCTCCCAGAAGTTGATCCCCCTGGTGGCTGGTTGCAGTATAGATCATAAACCGCACCCTTCCATGTTAGCACATGGGGCATAAGCCAAACTAAGATATTAAAGTACAAATCCAATCCATTTTTTTCCCAAAGGTGATTTGTGTTCAAGAATTGTGCTTAAATACTATGTTGAGCTACTGTTATTATACGAATGCTTTTTGTCAGACATATTTTAAAAACTCCACTAGTACATCTTTGGGAATACAATTTTAATATCATTTTCCTCCATTTATATATAGGGCTATTTTTGCAGAATAAAAAGAAATACATTTTATAACATGTAAAACTTTACACCACCAGTGTTTAAGCAGGCCACCCACACTTGAAACAAGTTGATACACTAATAGCCTTTCCCTTTCCTGATATTTGTTTTTCTTTGCTTACTGAAAGGTCCAATTTCCAGTCAACATGCAGTTAGCACAGCATAATTCGTAATGTGATGCAACCCATGCCTTTGAGTGTCTATAGTCTGTATCGCATGTGCACTTGTACACTGCACACTAAGCAGACTGGACACTTAAATACAACACTTGAATGTAGGACTCTTTTTCTTTTATTAATGCATTGCTACTTTTACTTTTGGGTTATAGTACTTTTCCACCCCTTTGTGGTTCTTTTTTATTTATTGAAACAAAGTAACACATTAACAAAACAGTACCAAACATGGGAGACAAGACAACAGATACATGACATTAGAAAAAGATATAGAGTGTTTAACAAGATTGTAGTGTGTGAAGTGTGGGTATTTCCAACTTATGTAATCTATGAAATGCAAGAAAGGGAAAAGGAGGGGAAGTAAATAAATTACCAGTAATAATGATGATAACAGTACTACTAATAAAATCAGCTGGTTACATTTTTGGAGTTTGGTGGGAATGTGCGTGGCCTCAGCCTCAGGTGTTTGGTTCAAGTTGAAATGTGTTAGAAATGGGTTCCATGTGTCATAAAAAGCTGATAAACTATTCTTGTGAGTGGATGTCATTTTCTCTAATGTGATGTATTCTATCAGAAGGTTGGTCCAGTGGTTTATGTGTAGTGATTTTTTTTTATTTCCAGTTTTGAAAGATTGTTTTCTTGGCCTTTGTGTGTCTGTGCGTGTATCTTTCTGCCAAGTCAAATAATGAGCCATATCAAATAGGCTAATTTGCTTGACTGCTATTCATATACATAATGGATTCATTCCAAATTAAAATTAAATCAGTGCTCCATGAAGCTTGCTTTGCTCATGTAAGGTAAAGACTACATCCTACAGCAGACATCAGACACATTTCCAGTCGTCTCCATTCTGTGCAAAGAACTCCAAAGACCAATTGCAGCATTGTATGGAGTCATTACTCAACAGAACATATTAGCTGAACCTTAACCAACAAATGACCACTGTTATTGCTGCACATAAGTGCCCATAAACCAGGAAGCCAACTGTGAATGGTTTACAGCAGTCTAACACACCTTGTATTGGCCTCATAATGTAGTTTAATGGCTATTTATGTAGTGCCGTCATTTAAGAATAAACAGATCAGGAGATTGAAATCTGCTCTGTCTTTGTACAATGAATGTCTACGAACCTTCATTACAGCTGAGTGATATGTGAACTACTCCTCTCCTTCAGTTTTCTTCCTGACTCTTCCATATTTCCTCTCTGTAGAACCTCTTCCACTATGTGACAGATATCCAGAATAATGGTGTGGTGAAGATCCCTGATGCTAAAGGGGATGATGCTTGGAAGGTTTACTTTGAGGAGACTCCCCAGGAGATTGTAGATGAGTTTGCCATGCGTTATGGAGTGGAGTCCATCTACCAGGCCATGACGTATGTTTCAGTTCTGAAGACCCAACACCAAAATATCACTCATTTAAAAAAAAAAAAAAATCCTTCATATTTGCATGCATCATTGGGTGTTTCATGCATCTGTCACTCTATAAAGTTTCCATACATTGTCCCTCATTTGCAGCCACTTTGCCTGCCTGTCATCTAAGTACATGTGCCCAGGTGTGCCTGCAGTGATGAGTACCCTGCTGGCCAACATTAATGCCTACTACGCCCACACCACCCAGGCAACCAATAACGTTTCTGCCTCTGACCGCTTTGCTGCTTCGAACTTTGGGGTGAGTCACTGCTTAAAATATAGGGAAATTGAAGATTTTTTTTATCAAGTAGTTTCTGGTTCCCAAATGTATTCAAAAACCACAATACTAGAATTACTAAACACTTATTCATGTCATGCTGCTAAATCGCAGTACCATTATATAGTCAATAGTGTAGATGTATCATAATGTTAAAATCTGTTACCATTTCTGTTATAATACCCACAGAAAGAACGATTTGTCAAGCTTCTAGATCAGCTGCACAACTCTTTGAGGATTGACCTTTCCATGTACCGAGTAAGATTTCTTTCTATCTTGCTATTTACACTCAAATATTATCTGCTATAAAGTGTTTTATAATATCTGTAATGCTTGTCTTTCTCTTTATCTTGTCTTTCTGTGCGAAACAGTAAAACAGTGCAGGTGGATGTGTTAATTCAGCGAATGCCACACACCCACGTAGTAGCAAGTGTATAGGTTTGGTGGCAGTGGAAATTATGTGGCCGAGCTGGTTCTTACCTATGTACACAAAAAACACACCGGACAAAGATGGATGGTGATATAATTCATTATGGCTCATTGTTTTCTTTTATTTTTTTCTTGTCTGACTGCAGAACAACTTCCCAGCCAGCAGTCCTGAGAGGCTGCAGGACCTTAAGTCCACAGTGGATCTCCTCACTAGTATCACCTTCTTCAGAATGAAGGTACCATCCCTTATTCTTCTGCCTTGTGTATTTTTTGCACTCCACCTACTCGTGTTTTTCAGTATGGAACACAAGGATGTAATTAACTGCAGTACATCCACAATTTCCTCAGAGGTGTGATCTCTGATATAAAAAACATAATTCTCTAAATTTGATGTTCAACATATTCTTTTTAAAATGAATCTAATATTTCATTTTAGGGCAGTAAGTTGTCAACTTTAGCCCTCTGACTCTCTCTGTGTGTGTATTCAGGTCCAAGAGCTTCAGTCTCCACCCAGAGCCAGCCAGGTAGTGAAGGATTGTGTCAAAGCCTGTCTCAACTCCACCTATGAGTACATCTTTAATAACTGTCATGAGCTGTACAGCCGCGAGTATCAGACAGACCCGGTAAGAAGCAGCAGTGACTTGAATGCTGTGAATGTTTCAAATTCAAAATGCTTTATTAACATGCCCATAATAAAGTAGTCTTCCCAAGGCTTATGTAAGTATAATAGTTGTAAACACAAATGGTTTGCATGGTGCTTTATAGTAATAAAAAATAAAACTGTAATAAAAAAAAATTGTTGCAAACAAATAATTAGAGAAATAAATAAATATATTTCCTATATAATTTAAAAAGAGACAGAAGATTTCTCAGAAGCTTAATATACTTTCATGCATTACCCCATTGCATTTTCCTCAGACTAACATGACATTGTAGTATGACATTTTTACATACATTATACATTCTGTATAAAAATATAGTAGATTTTATTTTGGTGTGAGAGTTTTACTTTGGTAAATAGAACTGGGTTCATACAGTACATAACACACATCAAGACTACACTATAGCAAGAACTGTTGCTCTTTCTCTAACTCTGGTTGTTGGCCTAACTGGCTCAGTGTGTTGTGTCTGCGCTGCCAGGTTTATCTGTCAACCAGTCTCTGTGGCCTGGTTGTGGTTCCTGTGCACAACAGATAATCTGCCATTCCCTATTGTCCATTCTTTGCTAAATACCATGGGATTAACTTGTTGCTAATATCCAAAGATTGTAATTTTGTTCATTCTGTCAGATGAAACAAACAGGAAAAATCACTGACTAACTCCAAACTCAGTGAAAGGGTTAATTTAGTAATCATTTCAAACCCAGCAGTAGTTTTCTTTGTATTCTGGTCCTTGACTATTCAGAGCACTTGGCTAATAAAAATATTGCTTGTACAAAATGATTTTTCAATATCACTTTTCCACTTTCTTTGCTGGATTTTTGTGTTGTCCTTAGTGATGGGTGAAATGCACTGTGGTCCCCATGTATGTACATGTTCTATGTGTGTCCTCATTTTCCTCTCACCTTGGGTAGGCCAGACTTCTCCACCCATCATTCCTGCACTTGATTTAGTAGAATGTGCTCATTAAAGCAGCAGCCCCAGACTGTCCTGTGAATTTCAAATAGGCATTTTTTTCTCTGTGAATACAACATATTCAAAGAAGTCATCCAGTCAACATTCTCAGTCTGTTTAAACCGGTTTGAGCAGCAACTGTTGAATATGTATGAGTTGTTGCATTAACAACATAGTCAGAATTTCCTTCCAAAAAAATCTGTCTCAGACAAAAACAAACAAACAAACAAAAAAAAACCTAAAGCTCACGTTTGTGTTTGCACATGTAAATAGCTTCTCTTCTTTCTGGAAGATTGAGTATTTTATCCAGTAGAGGTTTGGTGTGGGCAGTACCTAAATATATATTTTGATAATGATAAAATTGTTTAGACAGCCATGGTATGGACAGGGTTTGGTTGAAAAACACAAAAGAACACATTTCTGTAGATAACCTAAGATAATAGTTGTTTATATCTTCTCTTCATATAAGTAAAATGATTTATGTTCATTTCGTTGTGATTCTAGGCCAAACAGGGTGCTGTGCCTCTTGAGGAGCAGGGACCTAGCATCAAGAATCTGGACTTCTGGTCTAAACTCATCACACTTATTGTCTCCATTATTGAGGAGGACAAGAACTCCTACACTCCCTGCCTAAACCAGTATGCTTCTACGTTTTCTGTGTACCTCTTTCATCTATGTGATCACTTTCCCTTTTAATTTTAATATCATACAATTTACAATCACTATAATCATGTCTCCACACTTTCATTTCCAATTTCAGTCTCTCAGCTGTTTCTTGAGTTTACCTTCTTTTTCTAAGTGCCTGAACCATAAGCCATTCTTCTTCTCTCTTCAATCAAGATTTCCCCAGGAGCTCAATGTGGGTAAAATCAGTGCAGAAGTCATGTGGAACCTGTTTGCCCAGGATATGAAGTATGCAATGGAGGGTGAGTGCATAGTGGTGATATACTGAGCTTCTCAACTGACCGAGCCTTGTTGTGATAAATGTAGCCACTAATTGTGATTCTGTGGTTCAAACACTATTTTCAGTAATGACCAAACACACAGAGGCGCAGAAGACAATATAATGTTAGTTACAGGGTTGAAAGAACACAGCTAAACATTAGCTCTAAATGCTGTAGATCATAGGCTCCAAACATGAATACTTATGAGTCTCCTCTGTTTATCATTATCCTTGAGTTGGTATGGGACAACTATACAAAAGTCAATTGTATTGTTAAACCATTGTTTATATTCAGCAACCTTGTGAGGATGTCTTTATTCCTGAGTTGATGCCTTTGTGTGCGTTGTGAATCTGTGGGAATTGCAGATAGAATTGAAAAGAGAGAAACTTGTAATGCAACATATATTTGTCTCATTTATTTGTTTCCTCAGAACATGAAAAAAATCGCTTGTGTAAGAGTGCAGATTACATGAACTTGCACTTCAAGGTCAAGTGGTTGTACAATGAGTACTGCAAAGACCTGCCCTTCTTCAAGAGCAGGGTGCCTGAATATCCTGCGTGAGTAGGACTTGCCCATCATTTACACATGCTGAAAACAGAAAATAAGAAAAGTGGATTAAGTGATTTTTCTGTGTAACTTTGGGTTCTTGGTTTGTTTTCCGCTATCCACAGCTGGTTTGAGCCATTTGTCATCCAGTGGCTGGACGAAAACGAGGAAGTATCTCGGGACTTTCTGCACGGTGCTTTGGAAAGAGACAAAAAAGATGGGGTAAAGGTTTCCAGGTCTTCTTCTCCTTATCTTCTTTTCACTCCTCTGTGAATGCTGAGTTGGTGTTGTTATTCAGGCAAAATTACTGTAATCCATCCTTTGTACTTCTTTGTCACATCCAAAAGTTGTCAGCCAGTGTTTCATCCTCCCTCCTGCCTTGCCTCCCACACTTTTCCCTGCATCTCCTGCATTCTTCAAAAGCAACAATAAAGGCTTGGACACAGCAGCACAAGTGTGGAAGCAGAAAGTATGCTTGGGCTAAGAGGATGTTTCAGTCTAAGTGCTTTGTCGTATAAAGCGATTCTTTGAAAGTTCAAATAAATGTGCCTTACTGGAGAATGTGCCTTACTTGCTGTGAGGAGGGAGATAACTCTGTGACAGCAGGAGATTAATTAATGGCCTTATTTCAAAGTTTTGACTGCAAGAAAGCTGCCCTCACCTCATTACCCAGACTCCCTGGAGAAGCACCTAGCCAACTCTAGGCACTAACCTGAAGCCAATTACAAGGTGACAGACAGGAGCTCCAACCTGTCTAAATGGTTAGTTGACTGTAGGGGCTCTGTACATGCTGTGAAAGATATGAAAGGTTCATTTTAATATAGTGTCTAATGGTCCATCTAGATAGTTTAAGGTGCCCAAAGGTCACATCTGGCTGGCCTCCCTTCAGTCCTAGCTTCTCACCTGCTACTCCTACTCATCCCCTTCCCTTATACTTTTTCTCTCATGTTGTTCTCCCTGTTTTCCCCCTTTTAATCTTCTTGCACATCTTTTCTGCCCTACAGTTTCAGGTCACATCAGAGCACGCGCTGTTCTCCTGTTCTGTCGTGGATGTTTTTTCCCAGCTTAACCAGAGCTTTGAGATCATCAGGAAACTAGAGTGTCCGGATCCACAGATCGTTGGACACTATATGAAGCGTTTTGCCAAGGTAGAGTTAGTGAAATCACAAGTTTCAGTCAATTCATAATTTACAAAATAAATTTATAACAAATAGATTGTTTTTAAAACAATAAACAGTACGATTTTTTTAAATTCAGAAACTCAACTAAAATTATTTCCTGATGATTAATGACCTGTTGCTCTTTTCTTGTTTTTTTCTCCAGACCATCAGCAATGTACTCCTCTCATATGCTGATATAATCTCCAAGCTGTTTGCCAACTATGTCACTATGGAGAAAGTGGTAAGTGGTCAAAGATGTGGGTTACCAGAGCAGTCTACTGGGCTCAGTTGGTTCTAAAAAAAAAAAACAAGCATTATATTTCAGTTTAACTCTGTTGTCTTGCCAGCATCCTCTCTTTGAATTCTGTAGCAAAAGAAAGCTGATGCATTTTGAATGTGGAATTGTTTCTGCAAAAGCCGAGTGTGTCAGACAGACATGTTGCCATCTTGTTCCCAGCCCTGTATTCTGATCAACAATATCCAACAGCTGAGAGTTCAGCTGGAGAAGATGTTTGAAGCCATGGGTGGAAAAGATGTGAGTGATTAGAGATTCTCTTCTTTTGTCCTCCAGCTGGTATTATTCACTAGTGTGTATGTGGCCTTATATTATTCATATTCTGTTTGTTTGTGTGCCTGTGCATGTCTGTATAAGTGTGTGTGTGTACATCCCTTGCATTACTCATGTTGTGGGGACTGAAACCTATGAACACACTTTGTGGGGATTTGTGACATTAATACAAATGATCAGTTAGTGTTATTACTGCTGTATGACTCCCCTGCCCATTTTTTTTCAACCAGCTGTGTGGTTGTGTGTGTGTGTGTGTGTGTTTCCCTGTGCGTCCTTCAGCTGTGTGTGGAGGCCAGTGACATCCTGAAGGACTTGCAGATTAAGCTCAACAATGTCATGGATGACCTCAGCAGGGTCTTTGCTGTCAGGTTGGAACTCAGTCATGCAACCGTCTCTGGAAACATTGACATTAATATGATGTGCATTTAGACAGTCCAAACTTCATTATAATCAATTTGTACTTTTCCTGTGCAGTTTCCAGCCTCATATTGAGGAGAATGTGAAACAGATGGGAGACATCTTGGCTCAGGTGAAGGGAACTTCAAATGTGGGTAATGCCAGCAGTGTGGCCCAGGATGCCGACAACGTCCTACAGCCCATCATGGAGTTCCTGGACAGCAAGTGAGGCCATCTGCCATTTTAGTGGAATCTAAACAGGACTATTCAGTTTAGTTTTCAAGGCATTTAATCATTTTTTAACCTGTTTACCCAAGGTCAGACATACTAATGGGTGCCTTTATTGTCTCGAGTCAACACTGGTCAAGTGCCAGCTCAAGCGGAGTTAGTTAGAGTCAGCATTTAAACTGTTTATAAAGGCAAAAGAAAAACTAAGAAGGCATGCATGAGTTTGTTTGTATGTGGCTGAGGAGGAAAAGTAGTAAAATTCCCCAAAATCTAAGCTTTTGTGCTGTTTGGATGAGTCTTTTTTTGGTCATGAGGTGATTCCTACTAACCACAATTACTCTTCTATAGTCTGTTCTTTGAGGATATAGTGTTTCCCTCTTTGCTGCTTATCATTCATTTCATCTTCCTTCGTTCTGTCTCCCCTTCTCTTAGCCTGAGTTTGTTTGCTAAGATCTGTGAGAAGACTGTGTTGAAACGTGTGCTGAAGGAGTTGTGGAAGCTGGTGATGAACACCATGGAAAAGACCATCGTTCTTCCACCGCTCACAGACCAAACGGTAAGAGTACATTGACCCGCGAATGCACAATTGGACCTACAAATACTCACAATAACAATGCTTGGCTTTATGTCATTTTGGTACTGGCACTGGGCTGCGCCAGTACCATAGGCCACATAGGCCAGCAGTGTGCATAAATGTACATATGCAAACAGACATACTGTATACACACACACAGAGATATGAATATTTGACATGCTCTGATCATGACTGAAGCAGTAAAGTAAGCAGCTGAAAAATGACTTACAAAATCTATAACACCAAGGCAGCATCAAAAAAAAAACTTGGGGGGAGGGATACAAAGGCAGACCAGCAGTTGTGATTCATGAAGACAAACAAAAGACCAAACTGCCTTTACCTCCTGTCCACATGACATCCTATCTACTCCTCAGTCCCCACACACATTGTATTCAACATCGCCCCAAGTGTCCTCATTCACCAAAGCAATCAAATGAAATCCTTTAAAAAGATTTTTTTTTTTTTTTTTTTAAAGGAGTGCACCATATATCATTTTAACACCAGCTCATGGCTGCTCTCCAGTATGTCAGCTAATGATTATTTGGAGAGATTCTTGATTTATGAGTAACTCACAGAAGAGTGGCAGAAAGTTGCCCAAAGGATCAGACCCACTTCCAAAAAAGAATCGTACATTTTGGAAAGCAGCCTCTTGTGTTCTTTTATTTTGGATATATGTGTTCTCATTGTGTTTGGTTTTTAACAAAAGAGCCTCATATCACTGTTAATAAGGTGATAATGAATGTGTGGTTATCATGTACAGTGATGGCCAGTATTACTGGTCCAGCCTCATTAGCCCCTCATTGGTCTGCAGTAAGCCCCTGTCCAGTTGAAAGGCAATCTGTTCTGACTGTGCACAAAAGCTGCATTATCATCTCTACAAAAACCGTTTCTTCATTTGAAGTTGCTGTTAAAATCTGAGATTTATTTGCTATATTCCAAAAAAATGTCATAGTTACTTATTCACTGGCCCTGCTCAGTTCTTTACCTGTCCTTAGTACAGGCTCTATACAGGTGTCAGCTGGTCCATGTGTTTCCAACCCCAAGACCCAAACTTGTGTTTTTTATTGATGTGGGGCTCTTTGCAGCTTGACTGATCCTTCTCTCTGGTTGTTGTTGTTGTTGTGATTACTATTACGTCCTGCTCCCACTGCTCTCCCTCCACAGATGATTGTAAGTATAGCACTCCTGTGTGTGTGTCTGTCTGTCCACGGTGGTTGGTTCTCTGCTGTATGTGGCTGCAATCTTCCCTTGGTTTTTTTTTTACCCCACATCACACCCTCTCTTTTCTCACAGCCCACACCTCTCACATCTCTCATCTCTCTTCTCTACAACTCTGTCTTTCTTTTGAGAAGACAGAAGCATGGTGCATTCCTGACTGATTCTGATAGGTCCCACCCTTCAACAATCTCCACCAATCAGTGCCCCCCTCTTCTCCTGTTACTGTCTTTTCTTCCTGAACACTTTCCCCAAACAGGAAGAGGTACTCCTTCCTCACGGCTGGTGTTGCCTTGTTTCTTCTCATGCATTGTGTCTTTTTACTGAGACTCTGGTGGGGTGACTGATCTCTCGGTGGCTTGGTATCTAGTGTCCTCGCTTTACCTCTGGCCCCCCTTTTCTCCTTTCTTAACCCTCCCAATGTCCCCACCTTTCCCTCCTGTTTGAAGAGTGTCCTGCTTGCATCTGATCTATTTCAACACCACAGTCTTCTATCAGTATACTGTACAACACTGCACTGTATGTCGCCACAGACCTGTCATGTCGGACTGTCTTGGTTTGGTTTCATGTTTTGCTGATACTATGATTATTGTACTGATGCTATTATGCCAGTGGTCCTGATGTGGAGAATGGTGTTTCTTAGAAGAGGTTTTTGGTTTGGGTTGATGTTTGTAATCAGTTTGCTTAGTTTAAAGCCTGGACGCATGTGGAAACACCTAGCCTGACTCTGTCTGAAGCTCAAGATTGTATATACCAGCACTTTACAAAGCTCACTAACTAATCCCTGTCTTTTTTTTTTTTTATTCTACGCAGAAACTGAAATGTAAAATAGAACATGGCAAGATGTGGATTACAGACAGCTACATGCTATAGCTATTTCATGTAAAGGTGGATTATGGACCAGGCTGGTGGGGCCAGTGCCCCAGGGCCTCGGACTGCCCGAGGGCTTTGGAAAGACACAGGCCACATGCTGTCTGAGGCTTCTGAAGGTCAAAGGCTTCTTCCATTTGAAGGCCCTCAGAAAGCCTCAGACTACATCTGAGGGCTGTGGGCAGCCTGATGTTTTACCAGACAAGGCCTGAAAGTTTCACTGGTCCAAAGCTATTGGGCATAACCTACAATGGCCTCAGAAAACCTCAGGCCATGCCTGGGGCTACTGGCAGCCTAATGCTTTCCCTTCCAAGTTTTGAGGGTTTCCCAAGCTCACACAATCTCTCGAAAGCACAAACAAAGGGTGTGTGTGTCTACTTGTTACATAATCCATCCAGCCTGGGTGCCTATATGTGATTACTTTTTGCAGCTGGGCCTGATTTCAGCACAGTTCAGTTCAAATTAACAGCCTCTCTAGACAGCAGTTACTACGTGGATTTAATGTAGATAGTGAAAAAGACAAACAAGATAAGAGTAACAACTGATGTATGGACATATCTCACATCAGAGTCAGATGTTACTGCTGGTTGGTCACATAGTTGTTTTATTGTTTGTTTGTTTGTTTGTTTGTTTTATGGTTTTTGATTGGGGTGGAGGGCGTGTCATAGTGATGATGTCATGGCAGTAATGTCATGACTAATCAAGTGATCAACTTAAATTGGGTTGTGTATTCTACCTCAAAAAATACTCCTGATGCCCAAACTGATTTCATGGTAATCAGCTGCCAAGTGCAGTGCCATAGTCCCAGCACATAGCTCGCTGTTATTGTTGTGTGTTACTAGCTTGGATTATTTTGTTAATATTGTGCAGTTATAATTGATTCATGGTTTGTTCATTTTTTATTTTTTCTATTTTCTGTGAGGGCCCCCTCACAAATGAGATGATGCATCTCAAGGGGACTGTCTTCTAAAGCAAATAAGGTCACAACTTGTTTGTACAATCTGTCTGACTACAAATTAAACCAATGAGGTATGATATGTTAATTAGTGAGCTTTGGAGGTTCTGGTAAACAAATTTGTTTAATGTTGAACTGATCCAGTCTTAGCTAACTGTCACCCCATTCTGACACTGTGCTTAATGCACAGACATGAGAGCGGTATTTCATCTGACGCTAGCTTGGCAAGAGAGAATATAAGTGTATGTTCGAAAATGTCAAACTAGTTCATTAATGGGGTAAATTTTATTTCACTGATAGAAATGTTGTGGTTTTCACAGTTTCTAAGACAATTTTCAATTTATTACTGCCATTATGTTGCTCTTCTGCTATGTCAACCAACAATTTGTTAAACTTGTTTTTATTAGGCTACGTATAAATTCTGTGTCTTTTTGATGACTGAACTGAAAGAAGCTGACATTTCTGGCTGTATCCTCAAATTTTGTATACACTTTTTAAAGGAACACATGCACTTTTGATTGCGCTTCTAGCCAAAGAAAGTATAGTCAGGCTACAGGGACTGCTTGAAAAATTAACCACATGCTCTCTTTCCAGGGGAGGCTGAAGAGTGCTTCTCACAGTGATGTAAGGATTAAACACCTATAGATCAATGTGTCTTGTCTCTCTATTCTATGTCTTCTCTCCATGTCTTCATCTCTCTTCCTCAGCTCCCCAGGCAAACAAAGCAGTGAAAATATTGATTTTTCACTTTTGTTTTTATACAACATTTCCTCTATAGTGCTGTTTATATGCTGTGAAAATCTCTGTCAAATGCTGACACAAGTAGCTGACTGCACCCCCAGTCTCATACATGCAGACATCAGTGACTTAAACACACCACAAACTGCAAATTGTGGAGTCACTTAATTTGACTTCAAAAGCAATATGACATCTATATTGCATCAACACAATGCAGTACAAAAAATAGAATGTGGTCAAGTCAAAGCAGCTGAGCTTCACGAGGCAAAGTCACAAATCAGTGATAATGGGCCTTTTCTACTGGGATTTATGGTGCATTTGAGTGTGCTTAAAAGGTCAGAAGATTAGACCAAAATGTATCGTTCTCATCACAGCATCCCCTGAGACAAAAACACAACTGTCTGTTATTTTCTGAGTATTTCACATAGTGTAGCAGCCGAGGGAGGCTGGATTACTTTGACATGACACTGTCAGGCTTTGCTTTCTTGACAAAAAATGAGTAGACAGAATAGTTTTGAATGTGCAAACTTCTTTTTCTTTACAGCTTTTACAAAAAAAAAAAGAAACCTATAGTCAGAAGCTTGTTTTTGTACTTTGTTTCATTTGTTGATATCACTGTGACAGTGATTGTAAGGTTACTTCTATAAGTTGTAGCAACACAAGAGTAAAACCATAGTTCATGCGTAAAGCTGTAACCTTACATAGGATTTGAAGGGGCATTCAGCAGCACTTCATGATAAACTCCTTCTAGAGTATTGCATTACACTGAACTACAGTAAATTAATGCACACATCAGAGTGCAACGACAGAGCTACTACATGTGTGTGTGTGTGCGCGCGTGCATGTGTGCCCATGAATGTGCGAATGTTTCCCTTCTTTTCCTCACTACAAGCTGAGCCACTCTCCCTGAAATGTCTCAGTCTGTGCGTGTGTGTGTAGATTTGTGCAGCAAAGTGTACTGTTTGGAAATCAGTAAAACACACGAGTGTGATAAAAGCACTTGATGGAAAAAATACCTTGACATCTGTAAAGCGGCTTAGAGTAATTGTTTATGAATGTGTGTGTCAGAAATGTTGTCATTCTCTGTGTGACACTAAGCCGTTTACTACTGCTCTGTTTTGTCATCATGATAACAACATTCTTCCTCTCTTCCAGGGCACTCAGCTCATCTTTAACGCAGCCAAGGAGCTGGGACAGTTGTCCAAGCTCAAGGTACAATATGGTTTTATACCATTTATGACTCCATGATCCCTCAGAAACTATGAAGCATATGAAGGGACAGATTGATCATTCTGGTATGTTTTTTTTCCATTGTGATCTTTAGGAGCACATGGTTCGTGAGGAGGCCAAAGCACTCACACCTAAGCAGTGTGCTGTGATAGAGCTGGCCCTGGACACAATCAAGGTAGAAACGTCTTCTTAGATGAGCGGACTTTCATTGTTAGATTTGCTCTATAAATGTGGTTTATAGGGATGAGGTGTTAAAGAGTTTATGATTTGTCTTTTTGTTGCTTTTACAGATTTTGCTGTATTCAGTTAATCTATAAGAAACTCTTCTTAGAGTGATGTCTTCCATATTTCTACGAAGCAGGGCATTTTAAGTTGGAGAAAACATAAATAACACTATAAATAATTGTATAGATGATAATTCCATTTCAGTTACATGCAAACAAACGCAGAGATGGAAATGAGACACTCATCTGAGAATATGGGGCCTATTTAGAATTACCCAGTAGACTCAAACCCACAGACTGAACCGAGATTTGTAGTTAAAGAAACAACATGGGCACAAATACCTGCAATTTGTTACATTTCTATAATATAACAAGCTACAAATTCATGACTTTTATGTACCTTTGATTTGGTTAAGAAAGGCAAAATATGACCTGTTTAAAAAAGACTTTCAAATCATAAAGGATCTGTTTTACAAGATACCATACAATTTGGTACAACTACAGTAACAGCTTTGATGCTGTATGCCTCCGCTAACCAGTCAAATTCATGGGAATAGATGGATTTAAGGTCAATGACCTTGACTTTGACCTTTGACCACCCCAAAATCAGTTCACCCTTGGGTCCACCACTTGTGCCAAATTTGAAGGAATCCATTCAAGGCCTTCCTGATATATTGTGTTCACAAGAATGTGCTGCACATGCAACCTGAGAGCATAATTCCTCTGGCCAATGGTTATTACCAGTATGGAGCCATAAAAATTGATTCAGAGGCGTGGAGCTGCAAAGGGGCCCTGTAATAGGCCAGAGATTATTATGCGTATTTAATTAATATGTCATGGCCTTGAATGTGCTGTTAGTGGGATCATAATTTCAAGCAACTCTTGCTACAGAGACAGAAAACATGACCACTGACTAATCAGTACAGCTCTACATTAATGTGTGAATGAATACAAACTAAGGTCGGACATCCCAGTGGTTCACTCTGTCAGATGTTGCTCTAATTTTCTAAAAAGTACTTTTCCTTCTTCAATAATATTTTTTAGCTATGGGATGTTAGTTGACAACGGCTGTCTTTTTTGTCTCTCTGCCTTTGTGTGTGTGTGTTAGCAATACTTCCATGCTGGTGGTGTTGGTCTGAAGAAGACATTCCTGGAGAAGAGTCCTGATCTCCAGTCTCTTCACTACGCCCTGTCCCTCTACACACAGGCCACAGACAAACTTATTAAGACCTTTGTTCAGTCGCAGAACGCACAAGGTAGACTAATGCTCTTCACTCTTTGTGGCAGTCTTTCTTTTCTTTCGCTCGTTGGCTGGCTTTGAATTCTCTTTACTTTCCAGTATACTTGTTTGCTAAGTGTGAACTTAATTTCCAATGTCATGTCAAATTGACATATTTGTATCCTTGCCAGTGTCTCCCACTCCTCTCTTGTCATTAGGGTTTCCCCAGTGCCGAGCTCCACTGTAAATCTTAAAATTAACTTGCATGTTTTGTAGTCTATAAAGGCAAGACTGTTGCAGCACAATATTCTCTCCCCACTGCTGGCAGCCAGTCGCTGGAAATAGTCATTACATTTGCAATGAAAGAATAAATTCCCACACCCTCTTATCTCTCTTTTTGATTGTGTTGCTCAGCCTCCATCCCACCGTCAGATGGCTACATAGCAGCCATCACCTGTGGAAACGCTGATGCTGACACACAGTCCAGAACACTGCTGATAGATAGTTGGATGGTCATTTAGAATTTTAATTCCACAAAATGCCATGCTGTTTTTGGAGCATACCTAAGCATGTTTTACAGCTTAGTTTAGCCTATGTGTGAATTTTGTGCTGCAGGATTACACTGCAGAGTGGAAGAATACCAAAAAAAAAAAAAAAGGTTCTTTAAAAATAACTCCAATTTCTCTCATCTTTACAGACATAACTGCTTTTCTACTCTGTAACTCTCAATTCACCGTCTGCCAACCTCATATTTCTATGTGTCTCTCCTTTCTATGTCTACTCCCTTCTTCTGCCCTGTTTGTGGGCCAGTGTTCAGCGGGAAGGGGGTGAGGTTCACCACTAGTGAGGATGTTTACCCAGACAAGGGTATGTGGCACTCAGGCTCAGGGCCTGATAAATCCAGGACTAATAGAAAGAGACTCCAGACAAAAGTCCACCACCCCCCATGTGCATCCTGAAACTCCCCTGCCTGCTTAAACCCATCGCAACAAACACAATGCATAGATTGAACATAACTCCTGTATTTACTCTCTATCTCTGCCTTTTCGCACACAAACTGTACATGCATATTATAACAACAACACAGACTTTATGCATTCATGCATGTAATGTACACACTGATGTCTGTATGTACAGAACTGCGCTGAATACATACACCATGGACAGTATGTATGAGCAGACACTAGAGCATGATGTGCAGACATCAGAGAAGAAGAACACAAATGCATTAAAGTGTGGAGGAATCGTGATTCAGCATGATGTCAGGGGGCCGAGGGTCATGTGTGTGGGCAGTCAGTGCGACTGAGTGAATCTGTTCATAAGGTTGTTGAAGTAGAAGTTAATTTAAGTACATTGTTTGTCTCAAGTGAGGAAAACAGAGTATTTCCTTTTCCCCACATTACTACTGCATCTGAAATGAGAGATGCTGAGGAAGAGGAGTAGATTATGTAGATGATAAGAGCTGTCTGGGAGGGTCCTTGCCTGCTCTGTCATCACACACAAACACAGACAAAAGTACCCACATAGGAACACACACAGAGCTCCCACGCATAGCACAGCCCTCCCTAAAGCAGTGATGAGAAAGGAGTGCTCAGCTCATCTCCCCTGCACAGACTGAGGCAATTAGAAATGGTCCCTCTGGTCAGGTGGTCTGATTTCTGTCACTTTAGTATCAAAAGATCTGATTCTTTCCCACACACAACAGCTCTATGTATAATGGTTGAGGCTCCACTGAAAAAGACTTACTGCATACTATGTTGTGATGTGAAAGAGAACAAGGATATATGGAAGCAAAGAAAGGCCACAATAATGTAAAATTTATAAGCACGTGAATAATTTTAAACTCACACTGTCCAAAGACATGCGGCTTAGGTTGATTGGTGACTCTAAATTGCCCGTAGGAGTGAATGGAATGTGTGTGTGTGTGGTTGTTCGTCTGCGTGTCGGCCCTGCGATGGCCCTGCGATGGACCGGCGACCAATCCGGCGTGTACCCTGCCTTTCGCCTGATGCCAGCTGGGATTGGCTCCAGCTCCCCCGCGACCCCGATCGGGACTTAGTGGTATAGAAAATGAGATGAGATCATTTTAAAATTTGAAAGAAGAGAGGCAAAAGTCTCTCAGATGCTCTGTCAGATGGTTTTCTTCATGAGGTTTCATGAGTACGTCATTCCTCTCAGTGTGGCTGAGAGGAATGACGTACTGAGTATCGCAAGATCGTGAAACAGTGCAGGGGATATTCAACATGGCGACGCACAGTCACTGAGAATACAACACTTTGCTAGCTATTTTTCGGACTTTATAACCCACTACTGGAATTACACAAGCAATCCATTGGAATCATAAGTTGCTGCCAATAACCTGAACGGACCTTTCACATTCTGGAGGATTTAGTCTCGGACCTAAAATCTTTCATCGACCAATACTACATTCACTGCAGTATGGATACCGCCAATACAACCCAGCAAGACACCCTGAAGCCAAACAAATGGAAAAAGACCTCTTCTACAGATATAAGTGATCTACAGATGACAGACATTGAGGTCAGTGTGCTTGCATCCATCAATGAAAAAATCAATTTACTAGTCACACTTCATAAGGAAATAAAAGAATTCCGGTCAAGCCTTGAATTCACCCACAACTACACTGAAAAGTTAGAGTAGTCAAACAACTCTCTCCAAGCATCCATCAAAACCCTCAGCGACAAAATGGACTCCGTCATGAAAGAAAACAAAATAATGACAGAAACGATACTGGACATTCAAACCAGAAACATGCGCGACAACCTGATCTTTTCCGGCAACAACAAGAACAATCACCCGGTAATCCCGAAGCACTGGTTATCCTCCCCAGGGAAGGCGCCCAGGAGGCATCCCAAACACATACCCAAGCCACCTCAGCTGGCGCCTCTCAATGTGGAGGAGCAGTGGTTCTACTCTGAGCTCCTCCCAAGTGACCGAGCTCCTCACCATATCTGTAAGGGTGCGCCCGGCCACCCTGCGGAGAAAGCTCATTTTGGCTCATTACAGCTCAGCTCCTTCTTCACCACAACAGACCGGTACATCGACCACATTACTGCAGAAGCTGCACCGATCTGCCTGTCAATCTCCCGTTCCATCCTTCCCTCACTCGTGAACAAGACCCCAAGATACTTGAACTTCTCTACTTGAGGCAGGATGCGTGCTAAAGGTCCTGGTTTGATGGAGCCAACAGGACAACATTATCTGCAAAAACCAGAGACAAGATCCTGTGGTCCCCAAACCGGACTCTCTCCGGCCCCTGGCTGCACCTAGAAATTCTGTCCATAAAAATAATGAACAGAACCGGTGACAAAGGGCAGCCCTGTGTCAGGAGAAAGGTGACCGTAGCTCAAGAGAGCTTCTTCCCAAGAAAAGCTTACAGTGTCATGCTATTAATGGAGTATTTTCAATGACAGCCTACAATAAAACACCAATGTGAGAGGCACTGGAAAAGCAATGACAGCCCTCTTTTAATATGTTTTAGCCCAAATTTTAAGGGAAACTGTTTATTGACAGGAAACAAATTTTCAGAGGCTTAAAATTGTCTACAAATTATATCGAGCCATCTGCTTCAATCCATTTTACTCTTCAATGAGAATAACTGTAGGTCTGAATTATGGTATTTATGTCACAAATGCAGCATTTTCTATATTAAAATGTTCAGTTGCAACAATCTATTCATTTTCCTCCGCTTATCCAGAACCTGGTAGCGGGGGCAGTAGTCTAAGCAAACATGCCCAGACTTCCCTCTCTCCTGACACTTCCTCCAGCTCCTCCGGGGGGATACCGAGGCGTTCCTAGGCCAGCTGTCACTGTCCCCAGCCACCACACGATGTTGCAGAGGCGTGTCAGCCAAGACAGCCCCACAACATCCAGACACTTGAGGTACTTAGGGCAGATCTCATCCACCCCTGATGCCTTGCCACTGAGAAGCTTCTCAACTACCTCAGTGACTTCAGCTTGAGTGATGGACGAGTCCACCTCTGAGCCCCTGGCCTCTGCTTCCTCATTGGAAGACATGACGCTAGGGTTGAGGAGATCCTCGAAGTATTCCTTCCACCGTCCGAC